CTGACTGGGTTTTCTGTAATTCAACTGTCAACTTATTTCTGGAAGCAAATAAAAAGGCAAAATATTCTTATTTGGGATCAAAGAATTGCAATTCAGGCATGCGAATTTAGGTAGAAAACCTAAAATGTGCCCTCCAGAGGGACATTTTGAGAAGAAAATGAGATGAACTAAGAGATTTAAAAAAAAAAGAGGTGCTGCAGATTTGGGGTCTGGTGAGCACTTGGTTTCTGGTTCACAGAAGGTAATCTTGCTGTGGCCTCACCTGGCAGAATGGGGACCTTTTTATTAGGGCTCGAATACCATTCATGAGGGCTGTGTGCTCATGACCTAATCATCTCTCAAAAGGCTTCCCTCTTAACACATTCACATTGGGGATTAGGCTTCAAAGTGTGAATTTGGGGGTAATACAAACATTCATTCTGTAAAATCTTTGAAGTGATTTCCTGAGGCTAAGTGCCCCTAGGAAATGATGATTGAGTAGTTCACTCATCCTGGGAGGATTCAAATAAGGTACACTAATTGACAGGCAACAAGAAACTGATACACTAGACCATCTGCAGAAACAAAGGGAGTAGTTCACCAACAGGCAAGTACACCCTCCTAAGAAAGGCACTAATCTTAGCCTTCCTTCCTGGTAAACACATATCCTGACCACAAGGTAGCCTGTATGTGCACTCATTCAGGGTTCTGCAAGTTCCTTTCCCAAAGTAATGGCACTTCCTAGATGGTTTTAGGCTGTAATATTGTTGAGTTAGTTGAATAAAATGTGTTCTGATCTTTGATAATTGACTGATTACCCTAGCAAAATAACTGGAATTCATTATGCTTTCGCTAGAGACTTTTGTGTCCATGTGTTTTATTTATATTAAAAATATTAAAAACACATTTGTATTTAATCTACTCAGCCACAATTTTCTTTTCCATGAAAATTACTCACACAGGCCGGATTGCTCATAATATCTGCCATTACTAGTAAAATCCTGGTGGCCAGAGCAGAGGCTGGCTTGGATGTGTGCTGGGATCATAGAAACTGGTTTCTTTTTGTCCTAAACATTTTAGGATGATGGTCTCCCTAGAGCCAGAGACAATTTCTGATGAAGCAAAAATTTTTTCAGCACTTTGAAAAAAATGTCCTAAATGTACCTTGAGGGGTACATTCATTTAAACCAAAATAAAACCATTTGGTGATCATTATCTATTAGAGCAGTGTATTTTTCATTCTGGCATTGAAGGGGTAGGAGTGGTATTAGAGACCCAATTCCACCTATAGTGAGTGCTTACAGAGATGATGAGAGGCTTTTCTCTGCATGTGTCAAGTCCACAACTATGTCTATAAAAGCCAGGGTCATGATAATATGGACCTGGAGTTGGGAATGGAAAGGAACAAATAGATCAAGTCTAAAGAGTTAGACAATGAAGTCTTTGTCCACTGGGTTGTAACCATCTGAGTGTAAGTACAGACCACTGTTGTAAGCATGTAGGGAGCATTCGTTAATTGACTGATAGATACAAATCTTAGAAGAATTATCTTCCAGACTCCATACTTGCTTGGCATGATGTTTGTTGGGGAACCTAGAACAATTCTGTGTAAGTAATGGAGCTTTTGGGATTGAAGGATGAAGTTTATGGATCACTCTGAGGGGTGTAAGCTTAGTTAGGTGTCAACAAGACACAGGCAATAAGTTTTATGTCCTTATGAGTGTGAGCTAATCATTAAACCAGAGGTCACTTTTATAAGCATAAACTATTGTTGGTGATGAAGAGAAAAACTCAAGCACTATGATTAGGAGGGAAAACTCACATATAGTCTAATAATGACTGGATGAGAGGGATATTGTAACAGATCAGGAGTGAATAAAAATGACTTAGGGAAATGCAGTAAGGTAGGGCAGAAGAGTCAGCTCTCAGTAAATGTAAGTTTCTGCAGAATATGGCAGAAATAGGGTGGTGAATCTTAAATACTTGGTGAATGTCCCCGCACATCCTCACCCTCATACAAATATATTCGATTCAGGTATATTTGAAATTAAAGTGTAATCAAGCAATGCTTTCATCACTTACAATGAACTCTGATATTTTCTTTTTTATTTTATTGTTTTGAAAAATATGCTAGCAAGCTCTGTTAAATTGATTTAACAATTCATTGTGGATTATGAGCTCTAATTTGAAAAACTGTATTACAGAGGTAAGGCAGGGAACACATAGTTTCAATTTCAGTGAGGTCTTATCACAGATCGGAAGAAGGGACTACTGGGGTGGTCCAAGCCCATCAAGAACTTCTGTTCTTGATATGCGTGCATATATATATGTGTGTGTATGTGTATCTATATATGTGTGTGCATACACATATATGTATAAATACACATGTATATATGTACATATAGATATATGTGTCTATATCTATATATGTGTGTATAGATACATATATGTATGTATGTATATACATACATACATATATATATGTATATGTATATATGTATCTATACACACATATATAGATATAGACACATATGTATCTCTCTCTATATATATATGAGAGAGGTGTGTGTGTGTGTGTGTGTGTGTGTCTGTCTAAATATCTCCAACAAGGCACACCTGGCACTTTCCTGCTCCATGTTGTAATTTCCTGATCCTGTGTCCTCACTCCTAGCCTGGCCACCAAGTACAACTTGTGGTATCTAGTCATAGGGATTGAAATGCTGGTACATTTTCCTCCAGGAAAAAAAAAAAGAGTCCTAGAATGATCTGGTAACTTCCCTAGTCCATGGTTCTGGGTGGTTATTTTCTACTTACTTAGCCCTACTCAGGACAATCATTTCTTTTGGATCCTGCCCTTGGGGTAAAAATAAGGACTCATCTCTTTCCTGGTAGCAGCATCCACAGAAGAATGAGACCGGGTGATATAAATGTGACGAACGGTGTCTAGATAAATATCCCAGATCCTATTCATTCCCCTGGCATTGAGCGGTAATGGACTCCAATATTAAAATGCATATTTTACATCCTTGTCCCATAATTTGGAGGACGGCCATTCACTATGTATGAGCCATTCACTCATGCTCATCACACAGAGAAAATTACATTTTCCCAGTTGCCAAATGGAAGAGATAAATTATCTCACGTGGGCAAGCACACAGCTCCCAAGAGCAGGTTCATAGACCCAAGACACTGATCTAGGACACCCCAGGGGTAGACTCTGAGCTTGGCTGGTGTCATCCTAGGGCAGTGTCCTCATTTGGACCCACTGGACTCTCACCCTAGTGGCCTTAATATGGTCAGAATTTTCTGTTCAGGCTTTATTTTTTTGGGATAAAATGAACATCTTTGAATATCTATTATTCTAGATGTTATAAACATGAATAAACCAACACAGAATGTTTCATATGCATGCACAGCCACTGAATTGATAATACTTATTTGTAATGAAAATTAAAGAAGCAAAATGTTAGAAATGTTTTTTTTTTTAGAAATGTTTTCTTGGGGGAAGATGCATTAGAATGTCTTACCACTGATGCACACACATTTGCTTGTTACAATATTCTCTTTAGCCTTACCTATTCTTTTAGGTTAATGAAGGTCCAGATAATTGTCTACTCTCACTTAGCAAGGAATCCTTAACCTATTATCTACATATAGATGATTAACAGCAATTGTATCTATAGTTACAGCAAACATTTATTACCCTTCCTAAGGCCATCACTGTTTTAACCACTTAATGCCTTTTCCAAAATGATCCCACAATACATTTCTTACGTTTCTTCTCACATTACAAACACCAGGTAGATGATTCACACAGAAATTCCTTCAGTAATACTGAGTGCCCATTATGTGCCTGGAATTGTACTAGGCCCAGGAGGTAGATGTGGAGGATGAAGCAGAAATAACCCTAACACACAGCAGACCCTCGAAGTGTCAAAGTGAGTCTCTCGCTCCCAAGGCTTGACGAGCTGGAGGAAGGGAGGCCTCGTGGGCAGCTGAAGCCACTGGTGACCTCATTATACAATATTTAGGTTATCATATTTTTCTCTGCCCAGAAAAGCGGCTCCTCGACCATTCATTCCCCCGCGGTGCACGCGTTCAGCGACGCACCTAATCCGTGTGGATCATTTCGGATTTGCGGGAAGGCACCACCTAGACGCCAGTTATTACCAGCGTGTGGGGCTGGTGGTTTCTCCCTTTTCCTTTTCTGGCTCCCGAAGTGTCGTCTCCCTTCTGTTACTTTTATTCCGGACGAGCAAACGAGTCCTGACTCACAGCCTGGGCGGCCCGCTCTGTACCGAGTCAACCCGGGAGCGGGGCGCGCGCTCAGCGCCCCTCGCCCCGACTTCCTTCCCGCCCACCGGGTCTGCCCGCCAGGCGCGCGCCGGCTCGGCTCCCTCCAAGGCAGCCCCGCGGCCTGGTGGGGCTCCTGCGCCCCCTCTCTCCCCGCCCCCGCCCCCGCCGCTGCGGTAGCGCGGGGCTGACCCCGCGGGGACTCCGGAGGAGCCGCTTCCCGCCAACCCCGCCCCCGGCTGGAGTGAGGACGGGCGTTCCGGGCGACGGGGCTCTGGGGAGCTGGCGCCCAGGCCGGGAGCCAGGAGCCCCCCGCAGCGGGCTCCCCTCCGGGAACGCGGGCGCCCGGCCCCCCAGGTGAGGTGGGCTCGGGGGAGGCTGGGTCGGAGCAGGCCTGTCTACACCGCGCGCGCTCGGCCGGAGCCGGCGGCCGGGCCCCGTGCGGGAGGCGCGGGCCGCGCGGGGCAGGCGGCGCCCCCGGCGCCCCCGGCTGCCCGGACCCGCGCGCCCCGCGCCGCCGCCGCAGCAGGTGGGGCCGGCCGGGGCGGGGCGGGCGCGGGGCGGAGCCGCGCGGGGGCCGGCGCGGGGCGCGCGGGCGGGGCGGGCCGGGGCGCGCGGGCGGGGCGGGAGCGGGAGCCGCGCGGGCCGGGCGCCCGTGGAGCGCGCGAGCTGCGGGCCGGACCGGCCTGGCCGAGCGCGCGGGCGCCGAGCCGCAGACAAAGGCGCCGCTCGCGTCGGGGCCGCGGCGCTGGGGGCGCTGCCTCGGGTAAGTGGCTCCCCCTTTTCTCCTTTCTTCTCCCCGCTGCCGGGTCCTCTCGGAGTTCCGCGGGCTCGGAGGAGCCGGGGCGAAAGGGAGAACTGGTACCCCCCGCTCCCCGCTGCTCCACCCCCGCTGGCACAGAACCACGGCCAGCCCCAAGCCGGAGATCAAGCCGGTTCCAAACTCGCGAGTTCCCCGCGGCGGGCGCCCCGCGGGGCTGGCGCGGCCGCCTCGGTGACCCCCGGCGCGGACGGCTGCGCGCGCGGCGGCGCCCCGGGAACGGCGACTTGCTTGGGGAGGTTGCTGGTGGGCCCCCGGGGTGCGTGCGGCGGAGGGCGAGAAAGGAAGGGGCGCCGTGGGGAGACCCCACCCTCGGGCGCGTGCGGGGCACGGCGGTTGCGGTGTCTGCCCCAGCCCCCTGGGGTTCTTCCCTGGAGCCTCCTCCCTGCCCTGTTCTGGGGTTCCCAGGGCGCCCCCACTCCCCGCCCCGCCGAGGCGCGCGCTCTGCCCCTCTGCCCCCCGGGCGGGGACCGCGTCCCCCGGCCCGGCGAGTCCAGCCGGGTCCGCTGGGGCGCGCGGGCGGCTGCCGCCGACACCGCAGCTCGGTCCGGCTCGGCGGGTCCGCGCCCCCCGCCGCTGCCCGGGCTGCGCTCCCGGAGAAAAGCAGTCGCGAGCCGGACTGGCTCTGGCTTTTGTTCGGTCCGCTACTCTCTGGGATCCTGGAGAGCCGGGGTGGGCGGATGCCGCGGAGGGGGCCGTGCGGGGAGCTCGGGCGCAGCTCCTAGGGGACCCCTGGACAGGGCCGCCCCCGCGCCCCGGTTGGGGAGGGGGTCCTGACCGCTCCTCAGTGCCGGGGAGCGGGCCCGGAGTCCGCGGGGTCCGCGCGGCGGCGCCTGTCACGCGCCCCGCCGGCCCTCGGGAAAGCGCTGCCTCGAGACGCGCATTTCCATTCATGGATCTGAGCCTGGGATTTGATTAATGTCATCGCCGCCGGTTCTCTAAAGAGAGAGTCTGCGGCTGTTCCACGGAATAGCCTTTCCCAGGGCCCTACTGTGGGCCGCGCGGCCGTCCTCCAGTCATCTCAATGTGAAAGGTACTTATTAAGCTCCTACTATGTGCAGAGAAGATGTGTTGCAAACTTTTGAATTTAGCAGATATTTGGTGAGTACTTAACTGCGTTCAGGGTGGCTGTGTTATGACCTTATTTTCATAGATATTTCCTGAGTGCCTACTAAATGCAGAGTTTTTTTTTTTTTAAATCTGAGGTGTTGCTTTCATCTGTGTACTTTTGGGGGAGGTATGGAGGTGCAGGAGAGAGAGCTGCTCTCTCACCCTGGAGGCTTCAGTTCCTTTGGTAATTTTCACTTGCACCTGTCTGGACTGCTTGTTGTGTGAGGCAGGAAGAGCTCTCTCCTTTTTGCACTATAGCTTGAGGCTTTATCAGAGGGGGACAGGGCAGAATAATGAAAAGGCTTACTTTGGAACTTCTTCTATTTGGTTTCTTTACAATGGAAAACAAAAAGTTCCCCTGTGCAAAGAAGGATCCCAGTTATGGCAGGGGATCAAAGGTTAAGACAGCAAAGCCCTGACATTCAAAGGGGATGGAGAATCTGTGGTGGAAACAGACAGACAGACAAAAGGACAATCAAACTGAAGTAGGGGTGGGGACGGAGAACTACGAAGATGGGGCCAGCAGGGACCTTCCTGCCCCTAGTTCCAAACTGATGACAGTGGTGTGGGCAGGAGGATGGCTTCAAAATCCCAGCATTGCCCATGACCGGGAACCCAAGGCAGAATCAAATGGCTTGAGGCTCCTTCTTGCTGAGAGAATGGATAAATCGATTATTCTGATAATTTTGGGACCCCCGAGACACACTGGAATATCAGATGGGCAAGAAAACGGGGGTCCTCATTCGATCAGCAGATATCATTGTATTGCTATATATAGCCTGTTATCAGAAAATGTAGTCTGAGATAGTCCTTGCACTAAAGGTCATAGCATGTTCTCATGATAAACACAGAAAATGACTCCTTGGGAATTACATGTGAAAATCCAGGAACAGATTCCTCCTGGAATTTCATATCAGAAAGAAAAACTTCTGTGTCATGCATTTGTGGCTTCCCTTTTATCAGGGAGCAAGAACTTGCTTTGTGTCTAGTGTGTTTATCTTTTTACCTTGGCCTCCAGCAGTTCCTAGTAACTGCCTTATCCCAGTCCTGGGGAGGGTGACCCTTTTCTTTCTAAATTATTTCTCATCTCCTTTTTAAATTATTTTTTTTTAAACTCTAATTTTTTTCTTTTGCTGTGGACTTGAAAGCCCCCCTCACATCTTTTCTGAAAGTGAGTTCATTGACCTAGGAAGCAGGTGCAGCCCTCAATAAATGACTCGAGGCCCTTTGCTTAGAAGAGGAGGTAGGAAAAAACAACGGAGGGCATAAGCAGGAATGCACAGTGAACACACAGACTGGCCTTGCCAGATGGAGTAGAATCCAGCCAGGGGAAGAAGACAAACAAAGGCTTCCCTCCCAAGTTGAGGGAAATCCTGTAATCCAAGGTGTGAAGGAAAACAAACCCTCTTTAGAATGCGCCAGGAATTCCATAGCTTTTCATCTGAAATACTTTCCATTCATTCAGCAAACGCTGCCTGAGTATTTAACTATCTGTCCTTGATAGTGGGGTAGGTGTCAGGTGGGGCCTTCACCCAGCACAGTGGGGGTTCACTGTCCCGGCAGCTGGCGAGGACCCTGTCTACTGTTCCAGCTGCATCCCTACCATTCTTTCAGGCATTCCTGGAGTTTTTTTCACCTGAGCTGAACTTGATTGTAATCTTCTTCAAGGCCAAGAATGTGACTTCTTTTTTCCTCCTGCATCCTTCCGTCCCTGCTGGCTCAGCAGCAGTCTGTGGTGTAGATGACACCTGTTTCAGTCCTCTGTGCTGTCCATTTCTTCACCCTTCCCTGCTCCCCCCCCCCTTCTCTTCCTCCTCACCACTATTAGCTACTCTGAAACTTTCACTCTATAAAAAACGCAGGGGAAAGCCATCCTGTCAGTCACTTTCTCTTGCATATGAATATAGGTCACTGTTCTCTCTTGCTGGGGTCTTTGCTCTTTAAGCCTCATTATGGAATGAAATGCTTTGTTCCCCATGGCAGGATTTCAAGTGTGAATACAGGGTGTTGGAGATAATTGGAAAGACAAAGTGCCTTTGCCAGTGCTTCTTGAAATTATGCTACCAACCCGTCACGTGGGGTCCTTGCAGTCCCATGACCCATAATAGTCTTGGCCTTGATGGTTGAAGATGAACTACCTGTTGGCCTGGTCTTTACACCCTGCACTCCGAAGTTAAATGTTAATCAGTTTCCAGGGAATCTTGCTTCCTCACCTACATTCACCTATTATTTTAAGGCAGGAATTCTCAACCTGGGCATTATTGATGTTGTGGGCTGGGTAATTCTTTGTTATCCAGGGGAGGGGTGCTGTCCTGTGCATTGTAGAATGTTTATCAGCATCCGTCACCTCTACCCACGAGAGGCCAGTGACACTCACACCTGTGCCTTTGACACAGATATAATCACTGTGAATTAATGATTAGTTAATTCAGGACTAAATGATCTGGTAATGAGACTAGTTACCAAACTTTTTCCTGCTTGGACCCCCTTCCCCATCTACACACTCTCACAACCAGCAAGATGGAACAGTATCTCAGTAACACTGAGTGCCAAAAGGAATGGAACCAACAGACTTTTGGCCCAGCCTTGGAACTGACTTCTGTGTAACCTTGACAAGCTGAACCTCTGTTTCCCCATTTATACAATGGGGCAAAAAAAAAAAAAAAAAAAGGCTCACAGATCCCCAAAAGGTTAGTCTGTTCTCTGCAATTATGTGTAGATTTGACCCAAAATACCCAAGCAGATCTTGGGTATTGGGTAGAGTCAGGAAGTTGCTGTCTGCCCAGGGACCACAGGTCCACTTTCTGCCTGCAAGTGTGTAGTCATAGACAGAAGGCAGGGGAAAGCCCCTTCTGGAAAGGGCTCATTGAGGGCGGTGTGGGGGGAGGGAGTATTTTGCCAACTGGTTGGCGACTCCTCCTACGTGGAGCCTTTGTGTATTTCGTGATAATTTTGTCCATCTTATTTTTACATTTTTAAAAAAGTTTCATTTTTATTTTATTTATGCATATAATAACTGGAGTGCAGGCCAGAGGTGCAGGATTGAGGGAGGATTCACCAGAAATAGAGTGGGGAGTAGAATAGGTGGATCTACTGAAATACACTGTTGAGGGGAGCAGCGGGTGAGACAGGAGAGGCCTGTTGCACCTTGTGGGTCACTTACATGGCGGGGGATCAAACTCATGGCACAGTGGCTGGTGATAACTTGCAAGAGCTGAGACTTTAACCCTGAACCACTAGGAAAGCCCTGTTTTTACTTTAATTGTACAGTATCTCACACATAAGTAAGACTACATGTAACTTAGTCCATCTATTACCAGAATTAGAAATCCCCTAGTTAGGTTTAGTTGCTGTCCTTAGAGGAATAAATCTGTCCTTCCTCTCCCAGGTGGTTCTAGACTGTGACTGATTCCTCTGGAAGAAGTGATAAATGACTTAATTAATTGAAAGAGCACATTTTCTATTCTCCCCCAAAATGTGGCCTTCCATGATTATTTTTGGAGGCAGAATTACTAGAAAGCCCCACCACAGGAATTTATAAGCCATGACGTCTGAAAACTCAGCCTGAAATGAAGTAAATGAATTCCTCCAGCATGATTCACTTTAGGTACAAACCACATTTCTTGTAGTTATCAGTAACTTAGGCTCTGAAGCTGATTTTTCTAAAGAGGTATAATTATTTCTAGATCAAGGTCCTTTTCTATATTTCTCTTGTCAAATTTTCCACTTATTTGAATAGAGGTTTTTCCTAGTCAATTTGAGATTAGTCTTTATCTGCTAATAAGAGGTAATGTGCTGTGGTTTTAGTAGCACATGTGGGCACCACAGAGAGTTCA